CGTGAAGCGTAATCGGACCAGACTTAATTCGGTGGCCCCAGTGTTGTTCGAGACCACATGCGGGGGTCCACAACAAATTTCAGGCATAAGCAGCAACCAAACAAGATATGTCCAATAATGCAGATGGGTGGTCAAACGGATTGCTTAAAGCACCATTAGATTTCTCCTTAAAATTTTTCATTTATGTTTATGTTTGGTCAGAATATTTTGCTTATAATATCGCCTCCAGGTATCATTATTTTGCTTTTAATCATTGTTTAGCCAAATATCTACACAAATATCCACGAAAATGTTTTCATTACAATTTGACTGATGACACCGGAGTGATTAATTTCCCGCCTATGTTGACCACCTCATCCAGCCGCTCTCCTTCTCACAACCCCAGGGCTAACAGTGGAATGTCCATGTTGCTGCCAAATGCGGCATTTGATTCTTCAAGTCAAAGACCATGTTTTCAACAATAATTCCCTGGTGTTTAATGGTACCAATTCAACTACTGCATACAATGCACGCGGAGTAGCCAATCAACGTAATTTTCCGCGCAACATTTAAAGGAACCATTTGCTGTTTCCAACTAATTACTCAACTACTATATCCAGTACACACATGGGGCCAATCAGGTTTACTCTGCACACATTAAACAACAAAGTTATTTTTTTTAACACAAACCAATCCAGCTTAGATGCTGCAGTGTTTAAAATAATACCTCTAATCCATTATGCATGTACTTCGAGTTAACTGGGCAGTTGTCAATGTTGACATGTGCAAATCTGAACTTAACGCACAAGTGCGTTGAGGAACACAATTTGAAACAGTGCATAAGGGGCGTTCCATTATTTCGCAAAGCACGTGCATATGAAACCTGCAGTTAGTGCATTGTAAAGTATAATGTTCTGCAAGGAAACGCTCCACAACTCCAAATTAACCAATGCAAAATCGATTTTCGATATTGTAGTCTGCCGTAGCAGGTGAGAGCGTGAAATGCTTGAAACAATGGTGTGTTAATAAAAATTCTTACTGTTACGAAATGTTTCACAATATTTCGGTATGCATTTGGTCCATTTGCAAGGCACAAATCCAGCAAAATTTGATACAGCGTTACCTCAAGTCAAAGGTTACCCACCTAAGAAGTCATACGCCGTCATGGAGCATAGGTGATTGAATTTCTCTTTGCAGACAGTGATGTCTATGACGCCATAAGTAAAGCACAAATCAACACGTGGATAGGTTTGATTAGCCTTCTGCTTGCGCGTGATTCGGTTGCCTGCCATCGCTTTTGTATTATCGCTGGCACAAGTCATGAAGCTGGTGCAGCAGTTGGGCAGTGTTGATCTGCTCAATGAAGGTGAGTGGTTAGAGTGATGCGTAGTGTGTGCCCTACTACTGCTGCCATCAAGTAGACACGTTGGACAGAAGTTGCCTGCCTGACACCTGTTTTTTATGCTGCAGTTGAGAAGAAGGAGGTCAGCAGTGTGCTGCACAAATGCCTCAGCACACGACTGGAGGCATGCGACAAGGAAGTGTCGCAAGTGATCCTCCTGCAGGATCTCGCTGTCCGTGGCATCGCCTTCCACCACTTCGGCATGATGCCTCTTCTCAAGTAGATTAGTAATCGCACCCCAATTCTTGTCCCTCTAATCACATGTCTAGTACATTCATGCATGCATTCTACTGCCCGCCACACTACTTAGCTCGCCAGCGTATTCTCATTGCGACCATCCATCAGTTATCATATTGTCACGCTTTTATGGGGTAGGCAGGCAGACGGGCAGGCAGACAGACGTAGATCAGTGATTCATGTGACCAAGGCAACCGTGGATTAGTCCAAGTGTCAAATAATGTCAACAGCGATTCGGTGCTTGCGACTCACTTAAAGCGAGTACAAAATGTTTCCGTTCAGTCAGTTATCCTAAGCTAATGTGCATTCCAAACGATTGGTCGTAATCATAAGGTAGTGCAAAACAGCACGTCAGGTAGTCAGATATGTCATCGCGTCAAATGCAAACTTGTGTGATACATTGCACACGACGTGCCTTGTCTAAGTGTTATGTGGAAGACGTGGCATGCTGTAATGAACTAGTGCTGATTCTTTTCTTCATGTAGTGTGTATATTTCGGAAAGAGCTATTTGAAGAGCACTGGTGACGGTTGTCTTAGCAACCAAGACTTTCGGAATGGGTGTGTGCTGTCTTGTCGTGCGTGGCACTTGCACTTGTGTATTTGCTCCTCAGTCAGAGATAAGCTAACGCCGAGACCTAGATGTGAGGACATTCCAGGATGATTACTCGTGCGAATGAGGCGAATAGTTATTTTACAGTCGCGAATGACAATACTCAAGAACCCGGAGGCAGTGATTGAAACAGCATGCTAAATTAGAGCGTGCCACAAGTGAGTAGCCATTGCTTGGAACTCAAACGTACTGAATGGGGCTAAGTAGGAGTGTTGTGTCATGTGCGGTTATTGCTTTGTAACACGGGGAGCTCCAGTCATCAAGTCACCTCAATCACACCCATTTAATAAAAAGAACCGTCAGGTAGAGTTCTTTACTTAACCGAACTATATCCAAGAGAGTAACATAATATGTAGTAAAAGGAGAACATTAAAAAATAAAAGACGGTGCGAAACTAGAAATCAGAATTCAATGTGTACAATAGTGCAATTCATCATTAGTAGGATTTAAGGCACAACGAGATGGAGGAAGAGAGGGCTGTGATGGTTAACGCAGCCGCATTCTTCATGACGTCGTTGATGTAACGAGAAGACGAGGTCAAAGCACAAGTAGAAAGCAGATATCAGTGTGTGGGCGTGCGTGTGTAAACAATGGCGCGATTCATGAGCACAACGCAAATGTTTTCTTGTAAATTTGATCAATGCAAACCAAGTTATAAATTTCGCGCTTAGGCTGACGCCTTCACAAGCCGCTCTCCTACCCACCAGCACCGGGCTAACACTGGAATTTCCATGATGCTGCCAAACGAGGTGTTTGTCCATTCGAGTTAATGCCATGTTTTAACTAATTCCCTGGTGTTTCCAGGTACCAATCTAACTATTACATACAGTGCACGCAAAGAAGCCAGTCGGTTTGTTCTCTGCACAGTTTAATCATCGAATTGAGGGGTGTCAATTCACATGCCAAGATTGAAAAGAATTATTTACTGCTTCCAAGTAATAACGCAACTACTATATGCAGTGCACATATGAGGCTGGTTTAGTTTACTCGGCACACTGTAATCACCGAATTTAGTGGTCCAAATTAAAACAATCGAACTTGGATGCTGTGTTTTAGGATGATGGCAGGCTGCACTGTTCAACATACTGACACCAATCACTAATGCATGTACTTCTAATTAACTGCGCTCTTTACGACGTTGACATGTGCAAATCTATACTAAACGCTTAAGTGTATTCGGGACTGCAATTTGAAGTAGTGCATTAACGGCGTTCCATCACTTTGCAGAACGCCTCAATGTGACACCTACAGTAGGTGCATTGAAAAGTATAAACTCCTACAAGGAAGCTGTTCACAGCTCCAAACTAACCAATGCAAAGCGAATTTTCGGTATTGTAATTGGCTGCAGTACGTGACAGCGTGAGACGCCTACAACAGTCATCGTGCGGCTTGTCAATTGACACACTGAAAGTGGTAGGAAGGGGAACAAGAGGGCCTACTTCGTTGGTATCCCCCAAGAAATCGTGTATCTGTCAAAACCCTAACTGGTATTTATTAATCCGGGATAGTTATACATGCGTTCAGTCCATATGCAAGATATACATCAAGCAAACTTTGCTTCAACGCATCCCCAAGTCAAAGGTTCCCCGTCTGGGTATCCATTGGCAGGATAACATGAACTGAGTGCGATTTTGCATCGTTCAAGTAACACAACAACGGGAGCACATCGTTCTGCGTGCAGTGTGCATGCAAGGTGTCTGATCATGATGTCTGCATGCATGTGGCCTGATAGCAGGGCCCAACCTCTGCGATTGATGTCTTTCCATGTGGCCAAAACATAAAGCGCATTTGGCACGAACAGTTGGGTTTGCATTTGGTTCGGGATCCGTGATTCCCCAAGAAGCCTCATCGTCGATTTCGTCAGGATTTACACTAATTCCCTAACAACCCTCTTTTATTGAGCAGAGCAAAACTCGTAAAGGTTTTAGTAGGAAATATGATTAGCAGGCGATCTCAAGGCCAACGCTGAACGTCTTTCGACAGCGCTAAAATTCAACGGAAACGTGACCACACGTGTAACAGCTTTTGTGCAGAGAAGTGGCGCAAGGTAACCTGAAGAGATAAGAAAACCACTTTTTTCGAATCATGTTAGTGGTATGGAACTGAATAATCTGTGAATATATCTGCAGTCACAGAATTGATTTTGCACCTCAGTTTGCATATGTAGTGTTAAGCCTTTTATTATTTACAAGCATCGCTCCAAACTGTGGATTTAAATTAGAAACCCACGAGGTTCAACTTGCACGTCGAACAACACTGCAAACATTTAAACGCACATTTCAGATATTTCAAACACCAAGGCTTTAATAAAATCGTGCTTGCAAGATCGAGACCGAAAGTCAATTGCTATGTCGGGCGCACATAGTAGAAGTGTACTAAGTCGGAACATAACATACGAACACTGACCGTCAGTAGAATACCTCTACTCCAGGCTGCTGGCATCATCAACAAGCGCACTTTCACCCGTCACACCACTGAAACATTCCTGTAGGGTGATTTACAGTAATCTGGTGATAATCTAGTGCATTTCAATCGTGACACCAAATTGATTCAACGCGGGTAGTATCGGCCATTAAACTGTTTTCATGTCATCACTTGTCAATTTGCAGGACGCTCCTCGGAATCACTGAGGTCTGCTTGCATTGACTTAGCATAATTGAAGTTGCCAGCGTTCAATAGTAACGGAGCAGGCCCACATTGACAAACACGACACAGCGGATAATAAGGATCTCTAAGTCACTAACATGCTGATCTTAATTGATGGCTCTTAAATGCATCATTACCGCGAGTACGTCACACTTGGTGCAATGTGCTTGAAAATGTGTAAGGACAATAGGTTAATCCGGAGATTTGCATTGTTTTAACCGTCAAATGCATCACAATTGGGCAATAAATGAAATCCTCATTAATTAAAAGCTGCACTCAATTTGGACATCAGAATTCTCGACCTTACTGCAATTTTGATGTTATTGTTCACATAATCTGGGGTATCATGTGGTAATTCTACGCACGTCATCACGTAGTACTAATCTTCGGTGTTGCTGCAAGTGACAACACGTGCCTGAGGCATCAAAACCGATAATGCCAAAAACAAGGAACCGAGACACCAAATAGGTAGATCAGCATTCTGAAGAACTTCATGTTTGACACATTTCGTCTGCTGATATCGACGGAAGGATCCTTGAAAAAGCTAGACACGGTGGTAGGCTATGATAAATAAAATCCCAGGCACAAATTGGTCTTCACGTTTCCGTGCACGGACACGACCAGACTTAGTTCACGGAGCCTGTTACTTTATTTGTCAAAGCTATTATACACACACATATGCGCTCATTCATGTTTGGTCGACGTCTGTTTGATTGAATTTGGCGGTATTACGCACTCATCATTCCACTGATGTGCTTGGTGGGTAAACTGTAGTGATTGGCTAGCCTTTGGCGTGCCAGTACGGCTTAAGCTCCGTCGCTTGGTGTTGGTTGGTGTATTCACTGGCTTAACTGCTTTCAATGAAATTTTCTATTAATCGCTTAAGCCATCTCACCTTCTAATGGACCACCTCAATCCACAATCGACCTTCGGTTCTAAATAGACGTTTCTTCTTTACATGATACGTAATGGAGTTGCCTGGATCATCTACAAGGTCTGTTGGCCAATAGCAATTTTGCACATGGGAAGTTACTTATACATAAAAGCAGTTTCTTGAGTAGCCAATTATCTATATTAGCATTTGCGCAAATCGTGAAGTGCCTTTGACCAATGCCTGTCAAGGATATAATCGACTGTTTGTGAAGCAAGGCATTTTGAACCAAACTGAAGATAGCATTGACAAGGATAACTCCATTCATTCGTTTGACTTTCGAAAGACCGATATGGCATGCCTGAGCCTACACCATTTTATGTCTCGTCACAGCATTTCATTGGCATGACATCTCAAGTAACACTTCCGCGTGTTATTCGGTTGACAAAATTACACCAAGCTTTGTGCAGGTGTCGATTGGCCACTGGTGTGTGCAACAAGGAACCAGTGTGTCGTAGCACTTACATGCAGCTGGCATCCGAATGCACCAGGTGGATTAGCAAATGATCGTACCCTAATTTAGACTGAATGAGCTATCTCAATCGGGGTTATGGTCACGTCATTGCATCAAACCCTTTAGGCATCCATGGACCGGCGACCTCCATCTATGTGCCAAAGCAGAAGTTGCTGATTAAATGCACCCGAACCCATCAAGCAGAGTTACTCTCACCGCAACACCAAAGTTTGAAATACCTCCTTTATTACAAAAACCAATGCATGGACATACAGTTGTCAAAATTTCTTCACTCGTTTCTAGGTCCATAGGCTCCAGATTCGAAATCGCGTCCTACGGCGTCATAAAATTTGCTGAAGTCACTTCCAGCCGATGGTCCTCCCTTTAGTTTTGGCGTCGTCTTTGGAACAGGAGACTCAGTATCACACTGTCTTGCTTCCAGCTCCGACCTCTCCTCTCGTTTGTCCCCTTTGTCGTTGCTAAATTACGGACGAGTAAATGACTTAAGCAGGCGATGAGACTTACGTCGACATTGCTCTGTTCTGACGTTCTAGCAGGTTTTCCTATGGATCTCAACTTCCAACTCTCCTTGTTTTATAGTCCAATTGTGTGTCGTGCACTGACATCTCAGGTACACGCACTGTCAATTAACTTCCTGCATAACGGTCCTTAATGACACTGAACTATTATATGATTTATTGTAGCTTTTGCTTAGGCTTGAGTGCAAACAATAATTTCATCTGTTATTGTGTCGTGGATTAGCTTGAAAATGCAGACCGTTTTCGACTACATAAATGAAATTGTTAATTTTTGAGGGACAAGACTACGATTGACTGGATACCTGGAAGTCGCTTGAAAAAGGTTGTTCGTGTAGTTGACTTGCACAGGGCTATCACTACTAAGCAGATACATAATTTGTAAGGTATGTGTCTGCTAAAGTTATATCAAGCCTTCCCAAGACAAACGTCCTTCGATGTGTTTTGAAATGCTGGTTGTGAAGAAAGTAATTGGCAGGATGAATCAGCCGCAATGACGCATAGAAAATACTTAGCTTGTTGGCATATAATGCTGGCTCCAATGCATTGTTTCTCTTCACCTAAGTGCTGCCAATTCATTACTTGAACAATTGTACTCAATACGCTGCTGGATTTAGTATCTTCATTCCATCGAGTTGATGCAATGCGTGTTTCCAGTGTGCCAAGTATTCGACGTAGGCAATGTGAGCAGCATCGCGACACTGTTTGTGAAGGATTACGTTTCACAAAATGAGAGGCTGTCAGAATCGCATCGGCACACTAGGCTGTGTTCTCTTGTCAAGCATAAATAGGTTCAAGTCTTATGTCAAAATAACGATGCAGTTTTCGATGCTTGACACACCGACCTTCGCAGTGAATTGAAGTGCGTAAGAGTGCAACCACCACAAATTCATATTCAAGCCACCATTTGGTAGAGTACGCTTGGGACTACGGCCTAGAAAGTGACCCATGTTTCAAGAGAACGACCGCTCGTCATCACGTAGTACTAATCTTTGGTGTCACTGTGAGTGACAACACGTCGCTGTGGTATAGAAAGCGAAATTTCCGAAAGCACCAAATGTGCAGACCGTTATTCTTAACTGATTGTTCTGCTAGCATCAGCCGAAGATATTCTAAAATAACCAGACACACATCAAGTGACCGCGCAGATAGTCCTTTGTTCCAATATGAAGACAAAGACTCAGACGCCACCATCGATCACTACTTCAGATTGACCCAACCATAAGGAAGTACCTCTAAATTATGCAGCTGGCACATCGGACTACTCCATTGACTCTCCTGTGTGAACCAACCATTTCGTGATTCAAAATATCTACTCTCTGCCAGTTTGTATTGTACTATTTCGAAGGAATGATGTCTTAATTGTGAAGATTGTTCTCAAATAGGCATTTTGCAGTCTCGACTGGCAACATTCAAAAACCTGTGTGCAGTGGTTGAAACAGCATGCTAAATTAGAGCATGCCACAAGTGAGTAGCTATTGCTTGGAACTCAGGCGTACTGATTGGAGCTAAGTAGGGGTGTTGTGTCAAGTGTAGTTATTGCGTTGAACCACTATGAGCCCCAGTCATCCAGTCACCTCAATCACACACATTTAATAAAAAATCCTGATTCTAGTTCTTATTTAATTTAACAATATCCAAAAGATGGCGAACGTACGTGGCGAAAGAACGATATTAAACGAATAAAAGACATGGCACAAGACTAGAAATCAGAGATCAGTGTGTGTGCAATTGTGCGATGCGTCAACAATAGGATTGAAAGCACAACGAGATGGAGGCGGTGAAGACAGCCCTATGCTACATGTCAACGCACTTCGCATTATAGCCACATGAGCATCGCGCATCAGTGTCTCAAGAGCCTGGTAACCAAGGCGATGACATGCCATACGAGCATATTGTAGGACCTCAACAAGGCGTTTGAAGGCTCTGAGCAAATGGCCTTCGTCGGCGCCAGATTGTCCTGCCACCATTGACACCGGCTTACCACGTGCCCAGGCATAGGTGGCTTCCACAAGCCCCGGATTCACATGAAAGTCGATGTCAATATCGAGAAGTATTTCAACTGGAAGATAGGAGGCAAATATGAGTTGTGACACAACATGTTTGAAAAGGGCGAGTTAATTGTAGGAACTGAAGACCCAGCGTGTGCGTACAATTTGCTTGTGTCATCCAGCATGCGAAACAACATCCTATAAACACGCTTTCTGAATAAAGTGAGAATATCACTACTGATGAGCAATATCTGGTGATTTAACAATCCACGACAGAGCACCTTGCACACCAGCACTTCTCTTTGGTCGATGCCACAAGCTGCCAAGCCTAAAGCGCAGAAAACACCAGGAATGCCACAACATATATATATATATAATCTTGTGTAACAGGTTGCAACCAACAATTGTAGCAGTGCAATCTGCTGTTGGTGGCTAAGGTTAATGCCATGTCAGCCCCTCAATCTATTGGCGCACTTTCGTCGTTGTCGGTGCAGTTAGTGTGTCGCAGACAATTACAGAAATGTTACCTAGTGATTTTGGAAAACCTCAGAACAGCTCTAAGTGTCACAAAACGTAGCACGCTTAGTTTCTCCTCAAACAGCAGTCAATCGTGTGGCCAATGATCTTTCCATCGTGGAACGTAGAAGAGGACGACACGACCAAGTGTGAAGGCCTCGTCAAGTGCCTCCGGAGGCAGCTTGACAGCTGCAACTGCACTCGCTTTGGCAAGCGAAATGTGGCGTCCTTTGCGTAGCAACCAAATTCAGCCACTTCAACTACTGCTAAGCTACGCGAGTTCACAGACGCACTGATGTCTCTAATCACTAGTCCCACGTCACCTCTGGAAGTATTCCTACAACCATTCAAAGACATTTAGGTAACTCCATCTTCTCTGGTATGCCAATTACTACACGCTGGCTCCATCAGCCACCTAAATGGATGCAGCAACACTCAGACAAATGTGATTAACGACAGCAAGGAACAAGGCGATGTTGCAGTGTGATTTCGGAGAGGCCAAAATGCTAGTGCTGCGAGGCACTAGCACTGAAATGACTCGTGTTCTGTGGCCAGTGGAAAATTAGTCGTGTTGACTCTCGATGTTGATTAGTGCAAGTGAGCAATAAGGAAGTCACAGAGGACATCAAAGCCAATCAATCACTTTGAGTCTGAAAGAGTATTGTGAATGGCAGTTCACATTGGCTTACCGAAAATCGCGGAATGCTTGATTACATAAGGCCCTATTTGGACTGGCGTAGATGGCACGAAGTGAGCGCAGCCACAAGAACTGACTGCTTGCGTTCTAGGCAGCGGATGGCCTGTTTCTGGAAGGTGTCTAATTCAAACGGCTAATTGAGCGCTAAGTGTGGTATTAGCTTGGCCAATGTCGGCAGCTCCTCCGAGCTATTTTCCTAGACAAATTACGTCAAAAGTAATGCCTCAGACAAACACCAGCACACAACAGACTATGCTGCAGATCGCCCAGTCAAGTGGCGATTCCATAGGAAACTGCTCGCATGCTGTGGCCATGGCACCTTTACAAGTCATAAGTCTTCTCTTCCACTTCTGCTGACCTGACATTTGAGACACCTACTGAATTCTTCTTCTGCTGATTTCTGATACTGCTACCAAGTAGACACGTTGGACAGAAGTTGCCTGATATCTGTGATATGCTCCTTTTGAGAAGAAGGAGGTCAGCAGTGTGCTGCACAAATGCCTTAGCATACGACTGGAGGCATGTGACAATGTGGTGTTGCAAGTGACCCTGCTTCAGAATCTCGCTGTCCGTAGCATCGCCCTTCAACACCATGGCATGATGCCTCTTCTCATAGGACTTCGCAATGACATCCAATTTCCAGTTCGGTACATGGATCCGCCACGAGAACACAGGTCTAATTACGATTACCACGGTTCCGTTCTTGCAGCGTGACGCGTTCAAATCCTACATGGTACCCTCACTTGTGCTGTTATAGTGCAAACCTCCACTTCTTAGTAGAGCTGCAGTGATTTATTTCGAAACTAGATTTTACCTAGTTAGTTATTCGTAGCAGTTACGTCTGCGTTCAAGACTGTCTGAAGGGAATATGGACAATGCAGAATGCGAAGCGAAAGAGTGTGCTCTGGATACGACCAGGTCATTTTAGACTGGGATGTCTAAAATCTGCAACCTGCTTGTACGCTGTCCAGCATATCCTCTTCACGTAGCAGACTCCACCTTTGCCCTCTCCGTGTTGCAGTGTAGGCAAGCTGCTATCGAATCTTCTTGTTTACTTGGTTGCATCTGTGTCTCCTTACCAACCTTTGTTTTATCTTGAGGTGCAGTCTTGGAAACAGCCAAAATCCGCCATCCTATAGTGCACATATATGCTTAATGTGTCAGATGAAAAGGAGATGAAACTGTCAGAACTAATAATGATGCTGCGTTTGCTGCACCTGATAATTACGATGTTGTGCTGCTTCTCTTTTTCTTACCTGGGTGTATATCAGACTGACGACTGCCATGTCCCTTCAACTGTACCCGCTGAAAAATGCAATTGGCGTCTCACTGCCATTGCATCTTTGCTATGGGCGAGTATCTTTGCTGATGACGGTCCCTGCATGACACGTCTTGGCTTTCACACGGAAAACAAAAACATAGCGCATATGCATTAGTTGGTGTCGTCAGACAAATGGTCGTCAAATCACGCCTACTCTGCGTCGGTTAATAAAGGGCCTGCTGACATTCTAATCATTCTGAGATTAAAATTGCTAACTAAAAATGTTCACTCGTTCCTGGAAATAACGAACACACACAATGTCTTCAACCCGAATTATGCTGGTGTGCTGACTGTCAGAAACGAGAGGTTTCGCATTTGAAATCACGGAAGTCGTGCGCAGGCTAGAACCTCGTGTGCTTTAAAAATAAACGCAAAAATGACTGAAAGTCTTTCGATTGCACATTTCGCGATGTCAAAAACATGTGGTTTAGGTGTCTGGATGCGTGGCGGTGCTGACCAAATCCGTTTTGTACTAAACACAAAACAATTTAACAGAATGTGATTGCAAAGGCCAAATCATGGTGACAAGTGGCGACACAATACTGTGGATTCTACTAGAAATAAATTTGCCCGTCTAAGTTGTTACAGTTGGTTCATAGTCAATGATGGAAGGGTTTTGCAAAATACCTCGAAATAGGCAAGAATATTTGGCTCACTGATGTCTTGTGAAGCAACCTGAGCCTGGTGATAATCCACACCAACTTCAACACTTCCTCTCCATTGCATCCGGTGAGGCGCTTTGTCATGTGGTTGATGCCAATGGCATGTCCAGTTGCCGGGTTTCCAGTTAAGGGAATGAAGGTCCTGATTGTTCGCATGGTGTTTCGTTGGTGCAATCCCTGTTTGCCTTAGTGGTACTAAATATTTGGGCAAAATGATCTTCGTGGAAGTCAGCTGTCTTGGTGCCTTGTCAACAATTATTTTTGTCACTGTGAATAATACTGGTGTATCTTGAAGTCAGCAGCTTCGAGACTTCTAACTGCACAACAGGCCTACTTTAAATATACACGACAGCTCTTTTGTGAAGAGCTATACCCTTGAAAAAGAAGGCGCTTTTTAAAACAACAATCTGTACGTTGTTGTGGAGAAATGTGACGCACACATGCACATGGTTTGTTGATTAGATTAGCCGACATTAAGTTGGCCAATATCCATATCTTGGATTCCATGAAAGTTATTGGATAGGGCTACTTTGGTCTAGTAGCCGTTTATTTCTATACAGTCCTAACGGTTTCGTAAACATCACAGTTCCAGGAAAACAGGTGTCATTGGACTCAAATCCTCCCGCCAAGAGCTAGAACTCCGTGTCATGGGTTGCTGTTGTAGATGTAATGTGCCAATTGTAACTTAACCTGACGTATTCCTTGCACAAGTTGCGACTAATCAGAATGTGTCCAATAATGCAAATGTGTGGTTAAACGGATTGATTGAAGCACCACTAATGTTGTCCTTAACTGTCGCCATTTATGTGCATGTTTGGTCAGAATAACTTGCTCGTAATATTGCTTTCAATGATTAATTGGCTAAATGTCCTCACAATCAACCAAGAAAATGTTTTCTCAGAAATTAGACTAATGCTAATCAAATGAGAAATTTCACGCTTGGGTTGACTTCTTCTCACTAGCACTAGATTACCATTGGAGTACCCATGTTGATGCCAAATGTGTTGTTTGTTCATTTGAATGAATGCCATGTTTTAACTTATGCTATGGCGTTTCCAGGTACCAATTTAACTCCTGCATAAAGTGCACGCAAAGACGTTGATCGGTTTGTTTTTTGCATAGTTTAATTATCGAATTGAGAGGTTTCAATTCACCCTCCAGTTTGAAGCAAAAGATTCGCAAAAATTATAGGCTGGTCACAAGTAATAACGCAGCTAACATTTCCAGTACACATATGGGACCAGTTATGGTTACTCTGCACACCTGAACCACCGAATCAGGAGTTATTAATTAAAATAATCGAAGTTAGGTGCTGTTTTATTAGGATGATGGCAGGCTGCACTGTTCAACATGATAACACTAGTCCTTAATGCGTGCAATTCTAATTAATTGTGCTGTTCTCGTCGTTGACATATGCACATCTGTACTTAACGCTAAAGTGCATTCAGGATGGCAATTTGAAGCAGCGCATTAGTGGCGGTTCATAATTATGCAAAACACCTGAATGTGACACCAGCAGTAGGTGCATTGAAAAGTATAAACACCTGCGGGCAAGCGGTCGACAGCTCCAGATCAACCAGTGCAAAACTGATTTACGATATTTTAATTGGCTGTAGTACGTGATGGTGTGCCACGCCAACAGCAATCATCGTGTGGCTTGTCAATTGACACACTGAAAGTGGTAGAAAGGGGAACAGGAAAACCTACTTCATTGGTACCCCCAAGAAATCGTGTATCCATCAAAACCCCGACTGGTATCTATCAGTTCGGAATAGTGAAACATGCATTCAGTTAGTATGCAAGTACACCTTGCTCCAACGCATCCTTAAGTCAAAGGTTCCCCGTCTTGGTATTCGTTTGCAGAATAACATTCAATAAATGCGATTTTGCATCATTCAAGTAACACAACAGCAGATCCACACTGTTTCTGCATGCAGTGGCTACGCAACCTTTCTGACCACAATCTCTGCATGAATGCTACCCGATAGCAAGTCACAAAGTGTGAGTTTGATGTTGTTTAATGAGGCTAATACTTTAAACGCCGTTGACAAAAGCAGTTCGCTTTGTGTTTTGTTGGAGATTGAGGATTTCTTTCTTGACTTGTATAAGTGTTTACTTTATGACAGATCACTCGCTATTTGGGTGGGACGATTAAAGCTCTCAGCACGACCTCTGGTCCTGTCTTGCACTAGCGTGAGAGGGTGGTTTCTGGTGTCGGACAAGTGATCTGGCACAGTTTATCTGAGTGGATGTCTCTTGGTTAAAATGCAAATCTTACAGTTTAATGAAGGATGCTGGCTACTACGCTGCTTACACCAAGGCTCTGTTAATATGGCCAGTTAATTTGCGTGAGCGTTGGACCAGCACATCGTTTCGCGTTGAGTGATTCAACACTCACATGCATATTTTGTGAGCATGTGGGTAAATTGCAAACTAGTTTGGCCTTGCTACTCGATAAAAGCAGCGGAATAAATGGCGACTGTTAGACGCAAACCCAATGCATGTATGAATGATTCAAAAAAGTCCCATAATATCACCTCAAAGTACCCTGTGTGAGGATGGTACTGTTATGCACTCCATTCGTTCGGAAGTTGTTATCCAATGATAATTTATTCAACACGTTAACTCAATTTGGCGAGCCTCAACGTGGATGAGTGCGAACATTGCACGCAATCTGTGGCTGCGACACACAAAAGCGAACCAATTTAAGTTGTTATCAGGCTTAACGCAACCTAACGCTGCTTTGAGTGTAGAAAAAAAACAATCCGCTAGTTGCGTTGTCACAACACACCACATTCGAACAGTTGAATGCTGTTCAGTAGATTTCACAATTGTGACCGCGGTTTAAGTGAACTGAAATGCGCACCGTGATTCACATTTTGCAATTGAACAGAAAATAAATGCAACTGTCAAATTGTTATTAGCAACTGTACCAAACTGCCAGTGTGTGTTTAGCAGTTTATCCAAATGCGCAAGGATACATTGCACAATTGAATATTCTCGTTAATTTCGTGCACCTCTCCATGTGTATGTGGACTGAAATTCGGAATACGTAAGTCAGTCGAGGTGGCATCGTTTAATTGAATTCCACTTGAATCTGGCAAGCAGTCAAGCGCATCACCCTCAGCACCATGACTCTAAGCTGTTTTTCAATGATATAACTAGCAAGGTTGTATTAGCCAGACCTGCTGCACGCTGTACACGCTACCTGCAGATTACTGATTTCAAATGACGACGCTGCCACCAACGCAGTTAAGATAACGATGCACGCCTCCACGCTTCTGTCTCTATCTTCTTCAGACAGTCTTGTTCACGGGGCAGATGCGAACAGAGATAGAAGTGTTTGCCTGCTTCATATAACCATAAGCATGTCAGTATGGCCATTGATGAATGGTCACAATGACCATACGCGGGTGAGCTAACTAATGCGACAGGTAGTAGAATGCATGTCATGTACAAGAGATGTCGTGTCATAAGCAATGTCATTATTGCCACTGATCAACCTGGAAGTTTTACTTTCCGAATTTGTTCCATCAGCATGGATGATTGTGACTGCAGTGTTTTCAGATACCGCACAAATGTTGATCAATGACTTTTGATATTAATACTTTCACAAAAAAACTGCAATTACTGCCCCTGTTTCCACAACTTCTTTGAAAATCGCTTCATCCTAGTACTCTTCACGATTCAAAGCGTCATCTCTTGTTTGTTTACCGGTGTCACGTGACTGACGACACTGGCGTTCATGTGAATCTAGCGAATAAATGTACAATGAAACGAACGACGATCAAACAAACAGGCCAACATTTATGCGAGGACGGTGTTGTTTTGCTACCCGTTTCTCAAATGTGGGACTTCATATGCCTTTGCTGACAAAACCTATTAACATACGCGCCCTTTCCTCCGACAATGTGGCACAGTACAAGTTACATTTAAAAGGACCGTCCAAGCAGTAAGAGGTCGTGTGGCAGACACAAACGATGTGCGGCTTGAAAGGCTAATTAGGCCTATGTGATCCTGTTAAAGCCATTCGAACAAATACAGCTGCTTCCAGATAATCACGTCTATTGAACACCCGCAATCCGTATTTGGATTCTACACTTCTACGAGCCACTTAAAAGCAGCTTGTAACGACAGTCGAATGGCCCAGCTAGCCAGTGGCAACCGTCGTAAGCAATACTGCAGTTATTGTAAGCTATTCAGAACTGGGCTGAAATAACTTTATATCCCGAAACTCTCAACGTGTGAATTAGGCTTGAGTGCCATGATGACGATGACAACTTGAACCAGCACTTTCTCTAATACAAAGCTAGCCCTTGTGAATTAAAATTCAAACCAGAGTACTGGATGGCCGCTTATATTCATTGTTTTCTAAACCTACCACAAGATAAGCCGTAATAACTGTAGAATATTTCAATTAGGAGTTTTGAAAAAAAACTTATCCAAAATAATCTATTCGTTTGACGGTATTTTTCATACTAGAATCTGAACATCTTGATTCCAATAACAGCATCAATAGGGCTTCAAAAATCACGTCCTTACAAAACAGTCCTACAGTCAATTTCGAATTCAGAATCATCGACGATGCGGCAATTCGAATGCTGTTGTTTACTTTATGTGTGGTCTTAGAGGTACTTGGAATTTGAAAGATATCGTCCAAACAACTAAGCACATTCTTCTATAATTAGGTGCACATTCTTTTAGTACAATCGCATTCAACGTTAGTTTGCTGGAACCTTAAATATATGCCAATGGGCAGCACAAACTACCAGACGTATTTAGCATTAAGGCAGATTATCAAACCCCATTGTAATTTTCTGCACGCATCAAAACTAACACTAGCTAGAGAACATCGCTTCGACGTTCTACTTGATTTGTGTGTTGTCGCTGTTTGTTCCATTACACTTGCGCACAAGGCATGTCTGTCTATTCAATCGAGTGTTTTAAACATTAAATTATCAACCAGGTGCCAGAATTCCTGATTCCGACAACAGTGTCAACAGGCTTCCAAAAACCACGTCCTCATTTTGCTTTAACCGCTTCCGTGAGTTTCCCAACCTGACACCTGCTCACAGTTCTCCTAACTCAATACGTACGCACTGTGCTCTGGAAGAAAGACTTGCATGCGTTTACATCGGTTTATGACAATTAATTTGTAGGTCAGTCGTTGCGAGTTAAAGGTGTTTATGTAGAAAGTGCAAGTTATGTTCACACACACTAGCCAGCATCCGGTTTCGTGCTTGTGTGTGTGTGTGAGGTTTTAGCCGTGTTACGAATCGAAACCAATCAAATAGGCAAATGAGCATTACTGAGTAGGAAACACTGAGCCTGTGTTGCCAGTAAAGAGACAGGTTTATGTTGAGACACAAGCAGCGATGAATCGTGGCTTGCAGTCAGTCACATGGATGCGTGTTGATGCAGCACCATTTTCGTGGAAGTGTCATTAGTTTTAAGCAGTGGATTCATGGGCTGACTAGCGTTCTCTTATTGTCAAGAATTGATTGGCATATTGTGTGCCCATATTAAGAAGTTAGGTTTGCAACAGACTAGCATGTCGTATTTGTGTAAGTACAACACCATGATTCAATCCTGAAATGGTTGCATGCCTTGTCGGTTGTTTATTTGCTTGCCTTTGGGACCGATGCATTTGCTGCTTTTGTTTAGCCAAGCAGCGCAATTACTTAGCTCAGCTTGAATAAATGTCTTCACTAAGACTATCCTCGGGCCTTTTTCGATTGATGCACTCCTTTCTATAAAATTATCGTCATGCAGCTTGCAGCTTGTAACATCTACGCAAAACTGACCATCCATTTAAATGGCTTTTGTTATTTACTAACGCTTGTCGGGATGCCTTGCGGCCACAAACTGCGTCATGAATAAGTAGAGAGCCAGGACCTTCATGGACGCTACTAAAAAACTGGTGGCACGAACATCTAAACAAGGGCTTCATTTTAAAATCTGAAATAAAATGTTTGATCTGTCTTTAGCGTGAACAGTGTGATGAAAGCGTTCCTACTAGTGCATTTCTGCAGCTGACTCTAAGTCAATGCTTCTCTGTGAATTTAGGCCCGAATCTCGCCTAACATCGTCATGATATTTGGTAATGATATGTGGTGACCTCGTCATCATATTATCCAACATGTTCAAAATCGCTTATGTGTTATGTCATCGAAATAAGAAGCTGTTTTATTAGGATGATGGCAGGTTGTACTGTTCAACATGATAACACCAATCCGTAGGGCATGTACTTCTAATTAGATGCTGTTTAAGACGTTGACATATGCAAATCTATACACAACGCTTAAGTGCATTCAGGACTGCAATTTGAAATAGTACATTAGCGGCGTTTCATAATTATGCGAAACAATGTGAATGTAACACCAGCAGTAGGTGCATTGAAAAGTATAAACTCCTGCAAGGAAGCGGTCCACAGCTTCAAACTTAGCTATTACGCATCTGCACGTCAACGGTATTCATATGCAAGATGCCATTCACCGAATGCGATTTTGCGTAGTTCAAGTAACACAGCAACGGAAGCACACCATGTTGCCTAATAGCAAGCAACAATTTGTGCGTCTGATGTCTTTTCATGTGACTAATTCAAACAAACGCGCTTAACAATACATTGATTCTCTTCACCCATCAAACTCAGGCGTACCAATTGGAGCAAAGTAGGGGCGTTGTGTCAAGTGTAGTATTTGCGTTTAACCACTGGGAACCCCAGCCATCAAGACACCTCAATCACACCCATTTAATAACAATTTCCCAACTGGAGTTCTTTCTTTAACCGAACTATATCCAAGGGGAGGCTACAGTACGTGACAAACGGAAAATGGTAAACAAATAAAAGACAGCACCAAACAAGAAAGCAGAAATCAGTGCTACACAATGGTGCGATTCATCAACATTAAGGTCGAAGGCACAACGAGATGGAGGGGGTGAAAGCGGCCCTATGCTACATGTCATCAGTGATGTAAAAGGAAGACGTAGTCAGCAGGGCGGCTGCTTCGGCATTTCTTCGGTGATTCAACAATCCACGATTTTGAAACACTTCAAAACAGCTCCCAGTGTTACAAAATGTGAAAAGCTGTTTGCTTATCAAGAACAGTGCATCTCGTATTACAATGTCCATTCCATTTTGTAACGTAGGAGTGGACAACACGACCACGTGTGAACATCACGTCAAGTGCCTCCGAAGGCAGCTTCACTTGCTGCAGCAAGCGAAATGTGGGTTCGCTCTGCAAGAACTGAACGGACGTAATCGTAATTGGCTCTGTGGCCTCGTGGTGGATTAGTCTACTAGACCAGAATTTGCACGTGATTGCTAAGCCCCTTGAGAAGAAGTATCATGCCGGAATGCTTGAATGTAATATCACAGACAGTAAGATTCTGCAGCAGGATCACCTGGGAAACTTCCTTGTCACACGCCTCCAGTCGTGTGCTGAGGCATTTGTGCAGTACACTGCTGACCTCCTTCTTCTCAACTGCAGCATAAAACAGGTGTCAGGCAGGCAACTTCTGTCTAACGTGTCTACTTGATGGCAGCAGTAGGGCACACACTACGCATCACTCTAACCACTCACCTCCATTGAGCAGATCAACGCTGTCAAATTGCTGCACCAAACTCATGATTAGCGCCCGCGACAATACAAAGGCGATGGCAGGCAACAGATCATGCTTCTGCAGAACGCCAGTCAAACATTTCCATGTGTTGATTTGTGCCCTACTTATGGCCTCATAGCCATCACTGTCTGCAAAGAGAAAAACCTCGTTTTGTTACATCGACACTCAAATCACCTGTGCTCCACATTGGCATTCAAGGGGAGCACAAATCGCTGAATTGTGATGCACCATTGGTGCCGCCTCGATATTCCGCACCGTGGTCGCCCACCAACATTGGGTTGGTCCAAGAGACAACGGCCATCTCGTAGCCTGAAGTGAGAAGTCAACATTGTTGTCTGGTCATACACGCATGCTTTCACGAAAGGCGTTTCACCAACAATGCACGCCAAACGTGGTGCCGTTGGCATAGCAACCAATTTCAGGCATTTCAACTACGGCTATTCCGACTTCACTCCTGTGTCTGAGTCGTCTGCTCACCTGTCTACGCATTCACCTTGTCCTCAATATGACCACTTCCGCGTGCTTACACACAACGTAGCATGTTGGCGTCCATCTCACACCAACCACCTGCTGGTGCTGGTGCGGCTGCGCCCTCAGAAGCACATTTGCCATCTTAAATGAACTACCACACAACCAACGAGACTACACGCATTCAATGCAGCTGTGCTTGTGCATTGACCTTCATGTCTATATTCGCTTTTCTTATTCACCACGAGGTAGAGGTTATTGCGGCTTCGCCTGTCGCGGCCCATGTAGAGGTAGTGCTGCAGGAGCACGGGCCGTTTCAGCGTCTGACACACGTGGATTTCACTTCCACCGCGTGCTCGACCGAGCCAATCCGCAAGCTCAACGACGTTTGGCAGGGTGGCACTAAGCAACACCAACGTCACGCTTTGCGGCAGCACGAGCAGCAACTGCTCCCACACGTGACCACGCTCCCTGCCACCCACGTAGTGCACCTACAAGGCCAAAAAGCATGCACCTTACTCACTGGTCGTTTTCACAACAGCTTAGCTCCTTACAGAAATGTGCTCCTGGCATCAGCTGTTTGCGTCAGGTGGCAATAGCATTTGTCCAAGCAGCCGCATGACTTTACTCGTCCATGATGACAGCCTCGATGTCGTCGATTGAGGCATTGTGTACCATATTAAGGAGAATTTTAGTGGACATGATTAAAATGCGTGCGTTCACTGACACATTGGTGTCTCTTGTCACCAGTCCCACGTCATCTCCGAAAGTTCTCCTACAACCATACCATGACATTTGCATAGCTCCCTCTCGTCTAATTTGCCAACAACTAGACACTGTCTACATCAACTTGCTAAATACATGAAGCGAATTTTAAGCAGATGTGATTGGCGAACGCAAAGAGCATGGCGATCTGGAATATTAAAAAAGGTTATTACGAAGCACTGCAATCGAGAGAATGCAGTGAGCACTAATGCCATGTTCAGTGTTCAAACAACATTGATCATTTGTGAAAACATGTCCGATGTTGCACATTTACTTAAGTGCGTTCATTCGACTGTGCTCATTCCGTTAGCGCCACCTTGTCTCACTCGCACCTAGCATGCATTTCCTATCCATCATCGATCCATCACCGAGCATATTTAAGCCGAACAGTTAAAAGTTAATGCTAATAGTTTCTCATCCAAAACTTTTCTCTGATGAAATCCTGAAATTTTTTTTCTCTTTTAAAATTAAAAACGCCTTTCAGTGGTTGTGTCTACGGGGGTGATTGTTTTAACACTGCACAACTGCGTAACACTGCATCGACATTCTTGCATGTGTTTTGAAATTACTGACTCAACTTTAGCAACAAAAAATATCGTGAGATATGTGCCAGCAAACTGAATCGAAGCAAAACAAGTTAATCAAAGAGCCATTTATTTAAGCTATGAATTTATAAACTTGAATCCAAGAATTTCAAGAATTCGTATTCATCTAAAACACCATCGCCGTCGCTGTCGTACTTTCGAGCTACTGCCTCTGCAACTTCCGGGGTTTTTTGATGTTTTAACCATTCCACAATTTTCTCAACACTTATTGAATCGGATTCTCCGAGCAGCTTATGCAGCTCCTCTAGGTCAGCCCGACTAAAGTTAATCGCAGTATTAGTGTTGGAAGTAATGGAAACAAACCTTGCCATGCCTCACTTCGTTGATTGCATTCGGTTAATTCCAGCATGCAGCAGACCCGTATTTATAGAGGTGCATTTGGTTCAGGGTCACGCTCCTACGAAGTGACTAAATGAGTGCGCATAATTGACACAGGTTCATCCAATACGCTCTTTTCAAACCACTGATTGGTGTTGGCAGCACATGATTCGCATGCCTGTTCGAAGGCATTGACGCGCTCCGAACACGCAATGATCGTCACATGGGAACCTATGTACTGACCCATTTACAGGTGGAGCGAATTGCATGATAAGGCTTAGGAAACTCTAATGTGAAGCGGTGTGCACTATTAAACTAGTTCTTGGGCTCCAAACTTGTAGGTGCAGTTAAATAGCCACATGCAAATGGTGTGTTGATTAGATTAGCCGAGATCAACTTGGCCGATATCCACATCTTGGATTCCATGAATGATAGTAGAAGAGGGTATTTTGGTCTAACAGTAGTTTATTTCCATACAGTCGTAACGTATTCAAAAACATCACAGTTCCAGGAAAACAGGTGTCAATGGACTCAAATCCTGCTACTCACAGCTAAAGCTCTATTTCATGGGCTGCTGTTGTAGATGTAATGTACCAACAGTAACTTAACTTGACGTATTACTTGCATAAGCTGCAACAAAACAGGATATGTTTGATGATGTGAATGAGTGGTCAAATGGATTGCTTGGAGCACCACTTATGTTGTCCTTAAATATCTTCATTTAGTCAGAATATTTGCTTGTAATATTGCCTTTAGGTGTCACTAGCTTGTTTTCCATGATTGCTTGGCTAAATGTCTTCACAATTAATCAAGAAAATGTCTTCTTAGAAAAGAGATTAAAGCCAATCAAATGAGAAATTTCACGCTGGGATTGACACCTTCTCATTAGCGCCCTGGTACAATTGGAATATCCGTGTTGCTGCCAAATGAGGTGTTTTTTTTTCATTCGAATGAATCGCGTGTTTTAAATAATTATGTGGTGTTACCAGGTATTAATTTAATCGGGTTGTTTTCTGCACAGTTAAATCATTGAATTGTGAGGATTCAATTCACCTCCCAGTTTGGAGCACAATATTTACAAAAATTATAGACTAATTCCTAGTACAAACGTAACCACTATTTCCACTACACACATGGGCCAGTTATGGTTACTCTGCAAAATTTAACCAATAAACTAACAGGTCTTAATTAAATAATTTAACTTGGATGCTGTTTTATTACTATGAAAGCAGGCTGCACTGTTCAACAACGTGTAACTCTAATTAAGTGTGCTCTTCTCGTCTTTGATATGTGATAATCTGCACTTAACGCTTAAGTGCATTCAGGACAGCAATTTGAAGTAGCACATTAGCGGCGTTTCATAATTATGCCAAACACCTGAATGTGACCCCTGCACTAGATGCATTGAAAAGTATAAACTCCTGCAAGCAAGCGGTCCACTGCTCCAGATCAACCAATGCAGAACCGATTTTTGATATTGCAGTTTGCTGCAGTCCGTAACAGCGTGGGACGCCAGCTGCAATCATCGTTTGGCTTGTCAGTTGACACACTGAAAGTGGTAGGAAGGGTAACAACTGGGCCTACTTCCTTGGTACTTGCAAGAAATTAAGCATCAATCAAAACCCGACTGGTATCCATTAATTCGGGAAAGTGAAACATGCATTCACTTATGCAATAGGACAACTAGCAAGGTTGTATTAGCCAGACCTGCTGCACGCTGTACACGCTACCTGCAGATTACTGATTTCAAATGACGACGCT